CGTATTTTGCGTATTTTGCAGTATTAAACACGTATTTATACCGATTTCATCAGGCTCCGAAAATTCTTCACAAAGAATGGCCTTCTCAGCTGCCATAGTTGCAACTCTTGAGCATACTCTGCTCTGATTGGTCAGATGGCCCAGTCTGTTGTGATTGGTCTACCGTGTACAGCGCGTGTCTGAAACTAAACGCCCATTGCCATAGTTCTGTATTGAATGCTCGATAGTAAATATAAACATCTGTTATTTATCATTCTTACAAGTTGTGATTCAGTGGAGTTATAGCTGGTCCAAATAAACTGGGTACTGAGCCATCTTTCAAGAGCGAGCGTTTTGTGAATCGCGTGTTGAACTCCCAAAGATTAGAGAAGCAGTCGAACACAAAAAAAGATTGAGGTTGTACTGGTGTGGTACAGTGGAATAATGCATTTTAACCACTGATTCTTTGCAGCCTCATCTTTCGGAAGTGAAAATAAAACTAATTTACTTTCACAGCGTAGGACACAGCGTCTTCTCGACAAGACACGAACAAGCTGCAGTGTTTAAGGGCGGGTCTAGTTGTTCGCGGCCAGCAAACGGAGAACATAGTGCATTGTGCAAATGTGTTACCCAGTGACGTGTATCCGTCCGTTACGGAAGTGAGATTCGAATTACTGACGACTCGTTTCGGCTGTTCAGAGTCGATTCTTTCTTTTGGGAGACAATAACTTTATTTATCGTGCACTTTTGGCTTTGCAGATCGTTTACATTCACATACAGCTACATTGCACACTGCATGAAAGGCAATATTCAAAATGGCATAATAGGGGCACTTTAATATATTTTAAAATTGTATTTATTCCTGTGATGAAAAGCTGGATTTTCAGCATCATTACTCTAGTCTTCAGTGTATTCATATATAATAATATATAGTTGTTTTACATTATTGTTTTTACTAATATGATTGATTATACATAAATCATAAATTGTAAATTATTCATAAAATAACTTGATGAAGTATTAAAAATAAATAATAAATAAATCAATGTAGTGTTAAAAAAATAATAAATATATCACAATGTTAAGGTGTTTTTCCTGGGTGGTGGGTAGTAGTAGTTCACAGACGTGCTGGTTCTGATGGCATTAGCTGTTGAAGGCATAGCTCATGAATATTTATTATGTTATGCACAAACGATTGAACATGAGATTTTAGTGTTTTAAATAGTCTATGTGACATATTGAGGTCAGCAGTAGAGTTTTTGCTCATTTGCAAGTCAAAATTGAAAGGCAAACAATAACATTATGATGAGGAATGTCCAAAAATCATCTACACAACAATTTCTCCAGCACATCGAGTTGCTATTTGTGACATTTCGTTTGATAACTTCATCCCTACATCTGCTGCTGTCGGCTCTCAGGATTTTGTAGGTCAATGAATGCATGCATCAACAAACGAATGTTAAGTCTGAAACGCTGGACTTGTGGTAATGTGGAGAAGTGGGTTGTAATCCTGTCTGCAATGTATTATTTTAATGTCAGAGATTGTCTGGAAAAAAAGAAGAGGAAGGATTCTTCTGTGTGTTTGTTGTTGTACCTGACCGATCTGTTCACATGGCGTCTGGTACTCTGCGCGCTGGCACAGGTCTTTAACACGTTGGTATTTGGGCAGGTAGTTCTCCTCCTGGGCCATAGCCTTCCCATCATTCAACGCTTTATGCAGCAGTTTTCTGTCACCAGAGAAGTAAAGAAAAACCTAATGTTATCTGAATAAACATACGCTGACCTTTCACCTTTCACACCAAAAACCCAGAGCTCTCCGGCTGTTTTCACATTTAATTTGCGCTGACTCACCCTCTCTCCACCAGGAACGAGTCCCTCCACACTTTTCCTTTCTTGTTGAGCTGGAACCTGCAATTAGGAGAGACGGATGGATATTAATCTACGGCTTTGTTACTGATCACCTGGAACAGCAAATTGTCCAGAAATTGTCCGTTTCTCAGTGAACTCAAATGATGACTAAATCCAACAAACTGAGACCGAGATTGAAAAAATAGTAATGCACAAAAATGACAAACAGCTTAAACTGAAATCCAGCCTGCAATTTAAAGTGCTTTTTCCCTCCTCTACTATCCCTGATGAAAAACAGAAGGAGATGTGGAGGTGAGGAAACACAAGTGCTCTGTGCACCTCCTGACCTTCTCTGCAGATATGAGCTATCGATCGGAGCTCTCACACACCCTCTCTGATCTCCGCAGGAGTTCCTGCCAGATTTAGGAGTGTTCTGGCTGGCCTTTTCTCCTATTCAGACTCCTATAGTTAGTGGTATTTGCCAAGGCATCATCATTGCACAAACCCTAAAGCCGAAGTTATGTGTACTTTGCTCCACGCCATTTGTGTAATGGACATGAATGATACTTTAAAATTGTGTCATGAGGGTCTGCAGGGTCCTCACTATGATATAATTTCCTGTTTTATGTTTTTAATGTTCCGTTATGTTGGTTACACCACAAAGTCTGTTTATTAATAAACGATGGAAGCCCGTTTCTGCCACTGAATAAAAAAATAAAACAAGGTAATGCGACTTTTTATCTCACAATTCTGACGAGTTACAAAGTCAGAACTGCGTGATATAAACTTGCAATTCTGACTTTTTTTTATCTCGCAATTCTGACTATTTTCCCCAAAATTCGGAGTTTTTTTCTTGCAATTCTGACTTTTCTCAGAATTGTGAGATATAAACTCAAAATTGAGAGTTATAAAGTCCAATTCTGAGGGAAAACATTCTCAGAATTGCACTTATATCTCGCAATTCTGAGAACAAAAGTCAAAAAACAAAAGTTGTTTTATTTTTTTTATTCAGTGGCAGAAACATGCTTCTATAAAATAACAGTGAAGCAGTACTTGCTTTTACTACTTGCTACTTTCTTTTCAAGAATTTCAATCTCTGAATGAGCCTTTTTCATTATATTACTTCATACCCCAAAAAAATCTGAAAAAAAATCTGAAATGATAACAAGCTCATCATAGACAAGGTGAATTCAAATCATTGTATGTATGTAATGTATTTTTAGTTAGGGACGGGTGTTATGGCAAAAATATAGCCCTACAAGGAAACAAAAGAATGACAGATCATTTAGACCAAAATAAGGGTGGGTAACATGACCAAAATCTTATTTCACTTATATTTTATTTCAATAATAATCAAAAAAGAGGCACTGAACTGCACTGTCGTAAACTGTAGCTGTAAAGTCAGATCGTGGAGACAGTTTACTCGTTCACAATCTAATATCATCATATCGCACACCCCTATTATTAGACATATTTAAGACCAGAATATCTTGGGGTTGGGTTTATTTGACCACCTAGTAAACACCCAGAGACCCTAGCAACTGTTTAGAGATGCTCTCAAAACCAGAACACCTTAGCATGTGGAAGCTGATGAAATATAGAGATATTTATTTAATGAGTGTCTATCTGAGGTGACTGAGAGCACAAGGGAAGTGCAAGCCCTCCATCTCCCTGCCAGTCATCTTTCCTGAAAGCCCCTCTTCCCTCCGGATTTCTTATTTCCTGTTCCCCCCCACCTCCTGCTGAGATATGCATCTCTTCCTCTCATCTGAAATAAAAGAGGTACGCGGGCTAGCGGAAGAGTGCAGAGATGAGATTTCAGCAGGTGTCACGGTGATGAGGGGTTCTGTGTCAGTACGATGCCTGGCAGACTGCCATCTGCTGCCACTCAATGACAATGAAGTGAGGCGAGGTGTTGTTCCTACGGCTCTGATAGCCTCAGGATTAGTGTGTCGTTATCCTCAGGAAACTCAGCATTACAAGCTGATCAAGTAATATAGTGAAGTAGCTAGTAGCTGCACTGAAAAAGATAACACTGAGGCGCAAATTTATTAAACAGTTGTGCCACTTTTGCATGTGCTAACCTGTGTATTATTCACAAACCACCCACAATCCAGTTCATCCAGGTGCCAAGCACTGTGCTGTGGGTATTTACAGTAAATTACATTTCTGTCATTCCTTTCATCACAAACACACCTCCTTTATATGTAAATTAGGTTCATTATAGATTGTGGCTTGTTCACAAAAGGCGTTGTACTATTATGATGATGTACTGTTTGCCTGCTTACCATCTTTATATGAACTGAAGTTCATATTAAAAAATGATACAAAAGAAAAAAATGATTCTCAGTTGCATTGCGATTCTCTCTTCAATGATGAAATCTTTTCTTTTTTACTGACTATTTGCAATACATTTGCAAACACAATTGTTTTAATTTATTGTTAATTTGTAATTGTTTTTTTTTTAACAAAAGTACTTATAATTAAGGAATTAATGTGTATAAATTAAATATTTCATGTAGTTCAATTTATTAATTAATAAGAAAAGATCAAGAATAATTTTGATTAAAATCAAGAATCATTTTGGAATCAGATCACGACTCTCACAACTGAAGTCGGATCGAATCGTGAAGTGCCTAAATGTTCACACCCCTAGTAAAAGACATGTTTGTATATATTTTTGATTGATCATGGCAGCAATTATTCATCAAATGATGGAGAACAGAAAGGCATTCTTAGTGAAATCACCCCTTAAAATACCAAACTTTCTTCGTATCTCCAGCCTTGTGGACAGTTCATCAGTTTATGTTTTTCAATACATGCATTTTCTTCAAACTATACCAATTGAGTTGACTTTTTGTTCTGCTGATGTAATCATGGAAGCACAGGCTCTCAGTTTCAGAAATACGGGAAAAAAAGGCACACTTCAGTAGACATCCTCACCTGTTCATCATGCGGTCTGTGTCCAGAAGCTTGAGGATGGACTTGCCGTCCATGTCTGGTGGAACGTCCATCCCTGCAATGTCCAGGATGGTGGGGGCCAAGTCTATGTTCAACACGATGTGGGGGTTGCTATGGAAACAGAAGAGGGGGTTGCCATTTGACATAATGGTCAGAAACCAGATGAGCAGTACATAAACACTGACTGATAACAGAGACAGTGATAAAATAGAGAGATCCAGAACTTGCTCAAAAACAGAATACAGCTGTACTACACTGAATAATGTAATGGATATAGCCTACACTGCATACTGTTTACTATTAGTATGTAAAACAGTATGCATTATGCAACAATATACCATGTGTCTTTGAAAAGTCATCATCCACTGAGGTGGTGCGCCATGATAGGTGGGAATTTTCTTCATTTCTACAAGTGTACATATATTGATGTACACTTGTTCCCTATGTTTGCTGTCTTTCAGACTGAGCCTATATGATTTGGGACGTCACTTGAGATGGTTGAATACCCAGTGAAGTATTGGGCAATCAGATGCACACTGTCCATGAGCAAAGATGGCAGAATGCAGGTCACATACTTTCAAGGCTACACGCGCTGCCTGAGCAACTGTCATTGAGATAAATGTGAACGCTAACACAGCGGTGCTCAAACCTTCTGACTCCAAGCGAGGCCCCCCATTGTCCAAGCCAATATTCAAACGTCCCAAGATATTTCCGGGGACTTCTGCTGTTATGACAAAGCTGCTTGTTTTCAAATGTTTTTTTTTACAATTTATTTATAGAAATAGGAGTGGAGAGGAGAGAATTGTCAATTTATTAAAACAACAACAACAATAATGCTAATGCTAATAATAATAATAATAATAATAATTATTATTATTATTATAGATTAGAAAAATAATATAAAACAATTAGAAATAGATATAAAATAGTATCAAATAATGAAATGTAATTTCAAAAGATTCAAGAACTGAATGTTCTTCAGGGTTCAATAATGAATTTTAAAGATTTTTCCACTTGTTTGTGATTATGGGATAAGGCTTTTAAAATCATTTTAACTCACAAATGGCAATTTTTACCGAATAAAATTGTAGCATTTGGACCAATCAGACGCACAATTTTTCATTAGATTTAACAAATCAATTATTTATTAGATTAACAAATAATCGCAGACCCCTCACCCAATAAACATACTGGGTGCCAGCATGTCTGGGAACGACCCCAGGCCCCTGGTTACCATGGCAACCAGGACACCTCAGCCAGATCAGATAAACTTTTTCGACCTAAAAGTATGTAGAGAGAATCTTCCTCCTACTCAGTTCTCTCTGAAACAGACACATACTGCTATAGGAAATTACTTCTTACATTAATTCATAGACAAAATTTTCTATTACTTTCCTATCATGCATATCCCCAGGTCTTTGTGTATGATTACTACCTCCTTGTATATGGTCTTGTGTATTGTATACTGTTTTAATGCATGCTTATGACAGATCACTAGTTAAGGTAAACTCACCTATACCATGTTTGGCCTCTATTAATTTGTCTTCGGATGATCTAATTGAGAGTGTATATAATATGTGGATACCTATGCAACATGTTAGTGTTCTAAGAATCTTTAATAGTTTGCATATCAACATCCAATCCAGTTCCATATGCAAATTACCATGCTCTCAGACAAAGGGTTATAAAACTCCCCAGTATTTCCAACCTCCCGCTTGGAAATTCAGCCTTTCTCATTGGACAAGCCCATCCTGAGAGGCGGGACTCGTCTCAGACTTTAAAGGGCTCATGCACAGTTCCGCCCAGGTCCTCTGCTAAATCTTCTGATTGCTGCCCGTGTGGAGAGCCTGAGCTGGTGCGGGCGTGCCCGGTGGGCTCCAACATATAGCTTTTCAGTCTGCAGTCCTGTTAGTTTCTGAGAAGATAAGGATGTGAGCTAGAAACTCTTCTGCAACCCTTAAGTCTGCGCCAGGCTTCGGCCTAGTCTTTCCACTTCAAGTTCCTCTGACTCAAACTGGTTCTTTTCCATCAACCAACTTCAGCAAAGATCAACTTGAGCCTTCAGATTGCATCAGGACTCTCTTTCAAACAGGCGAGACGTGCAAGTATCAAACTTAATCTTATTAATTGATACATTAAGTATCATTTGCACCTTTTTACAAAGGTGTGTTTGAACTAAGAAAGTGATGTTTCCTTCAGGCTGTAGATCTGCTGAATATCAAATTGTACAATAGCTTCATGTCTTTATTTCTCTTCTCTTTACTGCTTAAGCTTTAACCCCTTTTCCTATGCCAACTGTATGCGTGTGTATGTTTGTCACAGTTCTCGGGAGGCAAGGAGCGAGGAACGAGGAAACACGGAGATACTTCAATTCACAGTCTTTAATGATCACACGGGGAACGTAGGAGACACAGGAACACATGGAATGACGTTCGAGGACCGACAAACACTAACTGAAAGGACTGGGGCTTTTAAACACTGGGTGATTGGGAAAACACAGGTGCAAGGAATGACTAATTAAAGGGAACACAGCACACCTGGGGAGGGAAAACACAACACAAAGAGTCCAGGGGCGTGACAATGTTAGACTAGTTTAAGTGTTAATAAAGTCTTACTTGTATCACACTTGAGGTTGTTCATTGTTTGCTGATAACTGGAGTCCCTAATCATGCAGATTTTTGCTACATGCTCTGAGTAGTATTGTACAGAATACTAGTTATTTTAGTAACTAGTTATTTTACTAAAGTTATTTTCCTTAACCAGGGAAAAAAAAAACTGCTCATCATCATCTTGCGGCCTCTTGTAAGTGTGCTGAGGCCCCTAGTTGAGAACCACTGTGCTAACAGATAGCTTTCTATTATAGTGATATATTAAACATTCACCTTCTGACGCTGAAGAACACATCAAACCCCTCAACATGCTTACTGTGGCTGTTCATTTTGATTAAAAAAATTATTCAAAACTGATGAGTGTCAGTTTCAACTGACCGTTTCAAATCCTCAGTGGAGATTAATCCAATCACATCCGCTCAGTTTTCAAAAAGTAAATTTGGCTCATCTCTCTCTCTGATTGTATTGCCTAAAGGCTCATCTGATGTTGAACTGGCCCCAGCTGTGCCTTTCTCACCCTTAGACTCTTGCCAAACTCTTTATCCTCTTTTCTGTGGCTTTCTTTCACAGTAAAAAGTCTTGCGGTCTTCACATGAGTGGACTTTACTGCTGCTAATCAGCTTTTCTGAGAAAGAGAGAAGCCAGACCACACAGCAGACTCGTGAGTAATGATATAAAATGCTGATGAGAGAAAGAGAGAGCTCTGGTCTGGTGCTCCCGTGGGGATGCAGGTTCAAATATGGCCTGCAACGTGCTGATCTCATTGGAAAGTCATTAAACCCCCATAAATCAAGTTCAGACCTCATTAAAGAATAACTCTGGCCTCTGTACTAAAACATGAATTACTATAGACATAAATGTTATATTAAATTATGTGCTACCTGAATAATATTATACTAAAAATATACTTTTTGGGAGATAATCATACTTTAAGAGCTTCAATTCTGCAATGCATTGCAATGAGACATTCTATTACATTATATTAAAATTTTGTATTTATATAAATATATGTATAAATATAGATATTGATTTATCATGGTACTATCATCTAAAAGCACCATGTTTTTTTGCGATGGTTGTCTTTGTCATGTCTATTGGATGGCGTCATCGGATACACGCACACAAACGAGAGCACTCACATGCCTCCTGCCTCCACATTTGGGCCGCGGATGTAAAAGGGAACTCTGATGTCAAACTCGTAGGGCATGGATTTCCCCTTGACCAGTCCGAACTGACCGATGTGATATCCGTGGTCAGCTGTGTAGATCACGTATGTGTTGTCCAGCTCTCCAGTGTCCACCAACATGTTGTATATCTACATTCAGAAAGAAGAAACATTACAATGGCAGAATAAATGATAAGGTACAACAGCTTCTTTTGTGGTTGCAGAAAAGCAAGACAAAAGCATCATGGGACATTCTGAAACTGTGAATTTATAAAAAAAAAAAAAAAACATTTGTTTGGTTTTGTGAAATGGATCACTGCACTCAATGTTGTTGCTGTTAAATGAACAATAAAAAAATAAAATGCTAATTGAACTTAAGCTAAATAAAATATTAAATATTAGATGAAAAACGTAAACAAAAATCAGAAATGTTGCTTTGGTAACTAAGTGAAATAAAACAAGTAAGTTTAAGTACTAAAGAAAAACTAAAACTGCAATAAAAATAAATGAAACTATTTAAAAAAATACATTTCAGTATTGCAAATGTTAAAAAAGCAATAAACTAATAAAAAGACAAAAGCACTAAATCTTTAAACAGAAAATATTAAAATAAAAGCTTTTTCAGAATATTAATAAATACCATAACAGAACATAAATAATACTAAAATAACAATGATTGCAATATAATGCACCATAGTACTGTAGCATTGTTAAAGTACCATAAAGTAGCATGCAAATACCACGGTATACAAACGTTAGAATTATTTATTATCATGGTATATCTGGAGTAAATGTGGAAATGTTCTCAACTGGGAAAATAATTAATACAGATAGATAGGTAATTTGCTCCTTATTAATAGTAAAGTAGTTGTTAAATTTAGTTATGGGGTAAGATTAAGGGTTAATATGGTCATGCAATATAAGGCATTAATATGTGCTTTTTAAGTACTAATAAACAGCCAATATGTTCCTAATATGCATGCTAGTTAATAGTGAGAATTGGTCCTTAAAATAAAGTGTTTCCATATGATTAAGAATAGTTTATAAATATTCTACTTTTATATTTTTATAAAAATGTATTATATTTATGCATAATTCGTGTAATTTGTATAACATGTATAACTGATGTACCTTCTCCACACTATCATCCACGGACAGCAGTGTTTGCAGTCTCTTGCGCTGCAGCATGTTGGTGAACTCCATGTGAATGGGCTTCATGGGGCCGGTGTAGCGCATAATCCAGTGTTTGTCTGGATTAGGGGCGTAGTTATAACTGGGCGTTCTGAATGGAGAAGAAAAGAGTCGCAGTCAGTGGACCCGCTGAAGCATGACTGAGGGAAATCGAGAGAGTTTTCAGAGCGTCTCGAGACACTGTTTGTCGACTCTGTTCTGCTGATGTTGGAGGAAAGCAAGCAGACAGATTTTGACAGCTGGGATGTGTCTGCGTGAATGTGTGAAAGTGCGTCTGTGTGTGTGTGTGTGTTTGTATGGTCAGAATTACAAATGACAGCAATCGACTGAGCTCTCTCTTTCTCGTCTCCTTGAAAATGACACATTGCAATTTTACAGATTTATGGCTTCTCAGGCGCTGACTGACAGACTGACATTCTGTGAATGTAATGCTTGTTCAACCATTATTGGGGGCTAAAAAGAGAGAGAAGTGTTTGTAGCTCCTCCTCCTCGCTCCTGTGACAGGTGTGAGAGGCCTATTAGAAACAAACAGCACTTACACTCCATGCCTTTACAGTTGTGATTAAAAGCCCCTGGCTCTATTGTTTACAGCCATTACTTAAAGTCCTTCTACAGACAAATCAATCTGAGCATCATCGCGCTGATCTGCTCGCTGCCTGGCCTTGTTTTGAGAGTGCCGTATATTCAAACTGATAACAACTTAGAGACAACAAGGGACGATGTAACTCTCTCTGTCTCTCTTTAGTGTATCTATTTCTGTCTGTACTGGGACCTGAAAGAAATGTGTACTGCTGTTCCTTTGTCACTTGTTTCTATTTCTTTCTGTCTAGACAGTAGCTCTGATTCAAAACTAAGTGGGCTGTCAACCTAGACATATAATAAAATATGACATTCTTTAATTAATATTTCCCTACTGCTGTTCCGGAAGGTGAGAAGTAGTGGTGGGAATTTTTTTCATCTGTGATTTGAAAGAACTTACAAAAAAAAAATCATTCAGATTTGTTCTCATTGAAGTTTTCTGCGCATTATATCGATATATAGTTTTTCCATTTTTATCAAATCCCTGTTCATTAATTTATTTCACGAACATGGCGCTGCATTCATTGTCGCTCTGGCCCTGTTTACACCTAGTATTAAGAAGCATTTTTTTTTCAATCCAATCACAAGTAGAAGACGCTAAAAAAGTGTAAACAGGGTCTAAAACGTTTTGAGCTTGTCCACTTTCGACCACTTCCGGAGGTTGTTGCTGCATTTTACCAAAACGCACAAATTACAGTCAAAATTGCAGCTGCTTTCTTTATCCTTTTTATTTGTTCCTTTCCCGATTGCCTGGGTTTCTATACTCATTCAAGATAAGTAAACAGAATAGTTGATAAATATTTTAATCAACACAGAAACGTTTAAAAAATAGTTCGCATTCTGGTCCAATTCAGAGTTTCTAATATACTGATAGCATTACCTGTTACAAATATCTCTTTGGATACAGATCTTCTTTATGCACCAAGAGCTTGTAACACTCCAACGAGAAAGGAAAAATTGAAATCGCATCATATGACCCCTTTAAATAAAAAAATAAAAAAAATAGTTCTAATCTGATTCACAACACATTATTCTGGGCAACATTTAAGTGCTCTGTATTTTTAAGATAGACTATCATGGCATTAGCTTAGCAACATGCTAACATCAAACTTAAGTGGAACTGACAGTGAACAGTAAACAGAAAAGATTATAAATACAGCATTCAATAAAGAAAAGTGTTCTAATCAGATTCATAACACTATTTCATAAAATATTTGTATGCTATGTATTTTTAAGCTTTTTAGACTATCAAGGCATTAGCTTAGCAATGCTAATGTCAGACTCAAGTGGAATTGACAGTAAACAGTAAACAGAAAAGTTGATTATAAATATAGTAATCAATAGGCCTACAATAAAGTGTTGAGTAAAAATAGTTCTAATCTCATTCGTAACACTATTTCACTAATTATTTGTATGCTATTTTTAAACTTACTAGACTCTCAAGACATTAGCTTAGCAACATGCTAATGTAAAACCAAAGACTATAGAATACCCAAGACGTGTCACTTGTATAGTTTTGAATGGGGAAAAATGCAACGCTCAATATCGCCGCTCAATTGCAGGAAGCCCCGCTTTCTGAATGAAAGAGCCATTCGCTAATTGGTAAAGTCAGCGTGTCACTGCAGCTGCCGTTAGAAGTCCCGGTTGCTTTAGAAACGGTCAGCGTTCTGAGACGTACTCTTAGGACTGCACATGCGCACTGGCTGATCTAGCCTGAAAAATACGGTTTTTATAACGCTATTTGAGCAAAAGTAACATTTATGACACAGTTGTTGTCAGATTTCTTTGGTGATTTCAAATATGAAATTTAATCGTAAGCTTAGTGAACAGTTTTGGAGAATTTAATGTTTCCCCATTCAAAGATATAGGATTTGCACTTGCATGCCCGAGAGGCATTTCAAAGATGGCCGCCGAGTGACATGACTTGTCTTAAAAGGACTTTGGTAAAACTCAAGTGGATTTCACTGTACACAGAGTAAATATAAACATTTTATTTAATACAGAATAGCGTTGAATAAAAATATCTCTGATCTGATTCATAACACATCATTTAACCTAATATTTGTGTGTATGCTCTGTATTTCATAGACCAGACTAGAATTAATGTGTGCTTGACGTGAGGAATGCTACATGCTACACAGTTCCTGCCTATATAGAGTGTTCCAAATATGTCACATGAGATTCCATCAATATAGAATATGGCCTCAGAAGGCAGCTGCCTATGTAGACAGTTAATTCTCTCTTTCTCTCTCTCTCTCTCTGGTTTCATCTTCTTTATTGGTCTGCATATAATCCTTTTAATCCTCTCAAAACACTCTTTCTCCCTCTCTTATTCTTTTCCGATCATATTTTCATTATTCTCGATGAAACAGGTGCAGTGGGATCACGCGGCGATGAGAACGGGGATTTTCCCACCGAATAATATACACTCTTGGACTCTCTGTGAGGATTTGTACAATATCTCTGCTTTGGCCTTGTGCCAGTCTGAGGGGCAATGAGGAGTTAATCACATACAGCACTGTACGAGGGCAAGGAGCAGAGAAGTACAGGACTAGCGGGAGGCCATTATGGACGGTGGCGGGTGGTTTGCAGCGGACTGAACGGAGAGAATGAGTGCGGTCCCGGGAATTTTTCATGGGACGTTAAGAGAGGATAGAGGAATTCTGGGGCATTCTCCCCTGACAGCAGGGGAATGATACATGCATATGAATGCATGTGTGGAGCACAGCCATTTTTTATGGTTATAAGGGTGAAAAAAGTGACATATTTCATTGCAATATAAATGCAATCAGACAGGTGACGAAGTTATAGAGGTGGATGTGAATTATCAATCATGTTTTATGAATAGTTTGTGTGCAAAAGATACTGGCGAGCAAAACAGGAGCAAGGCTGTTTGTGTTTTATTGGTGAAAGTGTGATGACATCAGAAAAATAATAAAAACTAAAAGTTAAAATTCCAGACACTCTGACTTGAGCAGTTACTTTGAAAGGATGATGGATGTTTATGTGAGTCATAAAGTGGGCAGGTTTGCATCTCCTGGTTTATATCTACTCTAATGGTGAATCAAACGCTTGTTAAACTACAACAGAAAGCTTATCACACACACACACACACAGGTTTGTTTTTGTGAAAAGTGGGGACATCCCATAGGCGTAATGGTTTTTATACTGTACAGACCGTATATTCTATTGCCCTTCACCAACCCTACCCCTAAACCTACCCCTCACAGGAAACTTTGTGCTATTTCAGATTTTCAATACACTCCATTCTGTGTGATTTATAAGCGTTTTGAAAAGTGGGGACATGGGGTAATGTCCTGAAAAGTCACCTTCTCCTTGTAATACCTATGTCATACCCTTGTCATTATACAAATTTATGTCCTCATTTGTCACAAAAAAACACGCACACACACACACACACACACACACACACACAGTTTAAATAGCTTCCCATTTACTAATCAAAAAATGAATATCTTATTCATCTATTTCGGGTTTCTCCCTCATCAGACAGCCTGAGAAAGCGAATGTGCATGTTTGTGAACATTCTGTCCCTTTAACGTCTGAATTCATTCCTGACTCAATATTTCAGTAAAGATGGTAATATTCATTAACAGTACTGTATCTCTTTGTTCTCTCCCTCTCTTTTTCTTGCTTGAATGTGAGAGAAATGGGAGCTCATGGTTGTGTGGTTTTGTGCTTAGACACACAATGTCCTGAAAGCAAATCGAATCTGAGAGAGAGACAGACAGAGAGAGAATTTAGTACATTAGAGGCTTTTTGTTTGCTCATTTGTGGTGTGTTAACTAGATAATATGTCTATGTGTGTGCTATCGGATGTATCTGGGGCGTGAAATATATTCTATACAAGTACATAAATGTAAATCTTCAAGCTTATTTTTTATGTGTTGTTCTATATGTATGAAATATGTCAGTATGCAATTTATAGTGCATTGTAAGTATGTGAGCAGTTTTCTCTTTCACCTACTGAGCAAGGTAGTTTACTGTAGTTAACTGTTGACATGTTTATAGCGAGCTGAATAAAAGCATCTGGTTTATTAGAACTGAAATTTGAAGGTAGCTTCTTGTTCTTGAGTGATTCAGTTTGTTAACACCATAGAAATCAAAGGAGAAGTGTATATTTTCATATACAATTCGCATGTTTATTCCCCAGAAAAGTGTACATTTTTCAGAATTTTTCAAGTATTGCACACTTATATTTAATATTTAACGTATTTCTTAAGAAGATTTTCATGCAGGGATTTCCTGTATCTAAAAAGGCTGAATTTATGAGGTTACCGGGTACAAAAGTAGACATGGAGAACTATAAAATGAGATTTTGAGATTACTTGGTGTACACAGAGAGTGAGAGTGCAGGTGTCCTAAAGATTTAGCAAATCCAGCTACCTAAAAACAACTACATCACGTGTAGACAGGATTTAACCGAGACTATGTGAGTGTGTACAAATATGCTTTTCATCATCACGTATGTATTCGGCATGTGTGTGAAGAATAGCAGTGTCTCTCTGACAGGAGGATTACAGACCCTGGGAAAAGTATAGACAGAGTCAGGATTTATCTGCAGGATGGACAGAAATGTAGAGATGAGATGAACGAAGGGAGAGAAAGAGACACTGAAAACATGGTCTGGTACCAGCTGGTGGCCAATTAGCAAGAGAGCAGGAGAAACCGGCAGATAAAAACAAGTGTGTGCGTGTGTGTCTGTGGGTACATTAGTGTGAACCGAAGAGGACTTTTTCCATTATAACAACTCTATTGAGTAGCACTTGAGTGACAGAAATAGAGAAAAGTGCAGTGAGTTTTCTATTCACAGTGTTATCCATGATTTCCAGCTGTTTCTTTGCTCTCTTCCTGTTCATCTCCACTACCACTAACCCTTTGAATGTTTTTGTTTATGTACAATGGAGTCCAAAATTTTTTTTTTTTTCTCAGCTTAACCTCAAAATAAACAACATTTTAGGAAAAATAATGATAAATATTCTACTATCATTTCTAGCTTAATAATCAATAAAGTAAAAAATCAGTGACAATGAACGTGTTTTTCCAGGCGGTCAGATTTCTTCTTCTTTTGAAGCTCAAGATACTCTTTGGATCATCCCAAATCATTCAAACTGATCATTAGTTTTTATACAAACTGGTGGAGTTCATGCAGCTTTAGTGATATTTCCATTAAGGCGAAAAAGAGACAAAGCCAATACCAGTACCAATACCAATACATTCTTAGTTTTTCCTATCATCTTTTTAAATTAAATGTCATGCAATGGAGGTTTGGACTCACATGTGCTGTGAAGCGTTGGGGAAGGCAGTAGAGTACTGAGGGGCCGAGTCCTCCGGGCCATGAGGGGCGGCGTGACTGATCACCATCATGATGGGTCGGTGAGGGTAGATCTTCTTTGACATGTGGAAGTAACTGATGCTGTCATTGGTAATGAGATCTGTCAGGTAGTCCTACAGGAGGTACAGAGATCTGATCATTAATCTACTAATTTAAAATATTTCAGTCTCAGTTATTCAAAAGCTTAACATACACACACATATAACCCACTCATAAGCAAACTTTTCTGTCGTCAAAGAGCTTGAATGTCTGTCACTGCAATGAATGGTGAAAAGCTAACAGAAAAAAGAGAGACAAAAAATACTGAACTTTGAGAGACAGCCAATGAGAGTGTGAAAGACAGACAGAAAAGAGGTCTGACTTTGTTGGAAATCAGACTAACAAAACTATCAATCAAACTGGTCAAGAATGGATGAAGACATGACAAGAAATGAAGAAAGGAGACGCAATAGGAAAAGACGGGGTTCCGCATGATTGGCCAGCTTGCACACAGACCTTTGAGTATTCAAATCCGTGTTTCTCTCGGACGCCGTTCCTGCACAGAGTGTAGTTGTAGAAGCGGGAATTCTTCACCATGGCGACCCACTCCCTCCAGCCCGGAGGAATGTAAGTACCGTTATACTCATTCAGATACTTCCCAAAGAATGCTGGGAAAGCACAAACAAAAGAGAGCATAGTTATCATAAAGTAAAATAGCATAGAAGAGAGCAAAGTAGAGTACAGAATAGTGTAATAAAATAGAGCAGAGCAGAACAGAATAGAGTAGGGTAGAACTGAGAATAGACAAAAAATAAAGAATAGAGTAAAATAGAGCAGTGTTGAGTACACTAGAGTAGAACAGAGAGCAGAATAGAGCAGAGTGCAGAATAGCAGAGGATGATACAGCAGAGTAGAGAACAGAAAAGTAGAATAAAGTTGAGTAGATTACAACACAATAGAGTTGAGCTGAGTAAAACAGAATAAAGTGAAATAGTATGGTACAAAACAATAGAAGAGTAGAAAAGTGTATACTACAGTTGAGTAGAGTAGAACAGAATAGAGTAGAATAGTTTTTACACAAATATAGAGTAGTTCAATTGAGTAAAGTGCAACAGAATAGAGTACAACAGGGTACAGAAGAATAGTGTATGGTTTAGTTATGTGGTAATAGTTATATGATAATAGTTGAGTAGATATTTGAGTAGAATAGAACAAAGTAGAGTAGAGCACAGTCGATTATAAAAGAGTACAGTTTAGTTGAGTATAGTAGAACAGAATAGAATAGAGTTCAATAGAGTAAAGTACAACAGAATAGAGCAAAACAGTGAAAATGGAAAAGTAGATAGTATGGGAAAGTTGAGTAGAATAGAACAAAGTAGAGTATAGCACAGTACAATAGAGTACAATAGAATAAAGTATTGCAGAGTAGTACAGAATAAAATAAAACAGAATAAAAACAGTGATATGGTAAAATAAAAAGCACATAGTACAGTAGAAAAGCACATAGTACAGTTGAGTTGGACTGAACAGAATATAGCACAAAACTGTAGAATTAAATAGAGTAGAAAAATAGACTACAACAATGCAGAAAACAGCAGAGTTTAGTAGAGGTGAGTAGTGTGTAGTGGAATAGAATAAAGTAGAACAGTTCAATAGAGTAAAATAAAACTCTAGAGTGATAAAACAGTATAATACGATACAGTAGAAGTACACAGTATATAGAGTTGAGTAGAGTATAGTATAGTAAACAGTGTAAAGTAGAGCAAAGCAAAGTAGTAGGCTATGGTAAAGTAGAGGTTAGCAGAGCAGAACAGAGTAGAATAGAATAGTGTATGGTACAGTTGAGTAGAGATTAACTGAATGGAGAACAGTACGGCAGAGCAGAGTACAATAAAGTAGAATATAATAGAATTTGGAGTAGATCAGAGTACGGAAGAGCAGCATAGAGTACAGTGAGTGTGATAAAGGGTCAAGAACAGTAGAATGGAGAAGAGTAGAACAGAGTGGAGTACAGAAAAGTAGTGTAAACTTTTTATACTAAAAATACATTGCACGTTTAAAATACAAGGGGCATACAGACAGAATCTGCATGTAGAGGAATAGAGGACAGGAGCTGTGTGAAGATGAATGAATATTTGTGTTGGAAATGTTACATTAGAGAGGATGTTGGTCAGAGCTGGTCTCTCTCCTAGAGGAAGTGTGCTCTAATGGATTACTGTTACCACTAAAAGCCTGACTCACTGCCAGGTGTGTGTGTGTGTGTGTGTGCAGGAACAACATTCACAGCTGGTCATGCTATGTTTACATGCACATAGTAGTTTTGCCTGATGTCTATGTCACAAACAAAAAACATCACACACACATCACACATTCACACAAATACACAAAACCATCCATTACAGCTCGAAGGTTTTTAGTTTAATGAAAATCATCTGTTGGAGACAGATTATGTCAATGTTCGTGCAAGAGTCTGTGAGAGTGTGTTTGACAGTGTGTGTGTGACCTGGGGGCCTGTCACACTGAATCTCAGGTGAGAGTGTGTGAAAAACCCAACAGACACAACTCTGACTGATGAAACAGCTCACAAATGAATGAGAGCTCAATTTGAACTTTACATTCATGTCAGGCTGTTATTGAAGAGTTTATGCGCCATAATGCTTTGGTGTTTATTTAAGAGGTTTTCAGATGGAAATCATTAAAGGGTATGAGGTTATGAAAGCATGATCTTAGAGCCACTGATGCTACACTCTGATTAGTCTCTAATCTAGTCCAACTATGAATTTTATGCTACAAAGACATAAAGTACTCAACTTTGCTACACTACTCTACTTCAGGCTACTCTATTTCATTCTACTCTGCTTTAGTCTACGGTACTTTATTGTACTCTATTGTACTCTATTTTAGTATACAATACTCAAATTGATTTTACTCTACTTTATTCTACTCTAGACTATGCTACTCTAATCTAATCCACATTGTTCTACTCTAGTTTACTAATCTCTATGCCATTCCCCTCTACTTTAGTCAAGTCTACTCAACTCTATTTTATTCCACTCTATTTTAGTCGGGTCAGTGTTAATCAAGTTTTCTCAATCTATGTTACTATATTCTGCTCTATTTTAGTATAAGATATTTTAATTTATTCTACTTTACATTTTTATACTCTGGGCTGCACATCTTGAGGTTATTCTCCTTTACTTTAGTACAATCTACTCAACTCTGTTCTACTCTACTTTAGTGTATGCTACTCTACTTTAATCTAGTACACATTATTCTATTGATCTCTAGGCTCCTCTCTTTTACTTTAGTCTAGTCTGGTCAACTCTATTCTACTCTACTCTAAGTCAGTCTATGCTGCTCTAATTTTTCTATTCATCTCTTTTACTTTATTCTAATCTACGTAACTCTCTTCTACTATACTTCAGTATATGCTGCTAATCTACTTCAATCTAGTATACATTATTCTACTTTACTTTAGTATAGTCCACTCAACTCAGCTTTATTCTACTCTATTTTAGTCTAGTCCTCTCTGCTTTAATCAATTTTTCTCAAGTCTATGTTACTATATTCTGCTCTGTTTTAGTATAAGCTACTCTAATGTATTCTACTCTACATTATACTCTTGTCTACACATCTAAAGGCTATTCTCCATTATTTTAGTATAATATACTTAACTCTATTCTACTCTACTTCAGGAGATGATACTCTACTTCATTCTACATAATTCTACTCATTTCTAGGCTATTTCCCTTTACTTTAGTCTACTCTTCTTTAGCCCAGAGATAAGTAGAATATTGTAGACTAGAGTAATATAGACTAAATAAGAGTAGAATAGAGTTCATTCTACTCTTCTTTAGTCTATATTACTCTAGTCTACAATATTCTACTTATCTCTGGGCTATTTTCCTTTAGTCTACTCAACTCTACTGCACATTCAATGCTACTGCACTTTAATCTACTCTACATTATTCTACTCATCTCTAAGCTATTCTCCTACTTTACTCTAATCTACTCTGTTTTTAGTCTATTCATCTCTATGTTATTCTAGTACACTTCATTCTACTCTACTCTAGTTTTAGTCTACACTATTCTATGCTGAACTCATAGCTCTACTACACTACACTACTGTACTCCACTCTACTTTACTCTATACCATGCGACAATAACACAGCAATTTAACCAAGTAATCCTTTCAGTGTGTGTTTGGGAATGGTCTCCACCTGTCCTGTAGCCAGTGCTGTTGAGGTAAACTCCAAAAGTGCGTGGCTCATGTTGGGCCTGCCAGGAGGGCGAAGAGCAGTTCTCGTTGTTGGTGTAGGTGTTGTGGTTGTGGGCGTACTTCCCCGTCAGCATGGAGGAGCGTGATGGACAGCACATGGGCGTGGTGACAAACGCGTTGGAGAAGTGCGTTCCACCCTGTTCCATGATCCGCCGGGTCTTATTCATGACCTGCATGGAGCCTGGGTGAGAGAGAGAAAAAGAAGATCTATCATATATTATTGAAGGTGACATAAAGTCTGCTCTGCTGATTGCTCTACTTCAAAGAGAACTGGATACTTCTTTTTCTCTTCCTCTACAAAACACTAGACATCAGCGGGATAAAGATATCAGTTCTTTCATTTATTCTCTGTTTGTGACATTCCAGCCTTTAAGAGGAAATGTATTGGTTGTTTGCAACCTGGGAATTCATGTGACACCAGCGGCGTGTGTGTGCGTGTGCACATGGATGTGTATGTTTAGAGATATATGATACAGGCTTTATATTCACAAGTCACACTCTATTTATTAAAAGTCTCAATTACAGTATATAGTTTTCAAAACCCCTTTGTTTTCGCTCTTCCTCAGCATTTCTTCGACCTTGCCTTGCTCAAATAAACACACACATATTTATTTAAATGTAAATTAGGACAAACCATAAACTTCAATAGTTTTTACACTACCATTCAAAGGTTTGGGTCAGTAAGATTTATTTATTTATTTATTGCATTCAGCAAGGATGCATTAAGTCAATAGTGTACAGAAAATTCTATTTTAAATGAACACTGTTCTTTTGAACTTTGTATTTATCAAAGAAGCCTAATATATTCAAATAGAAAACAGTTCTTTTAAATTGAAATGATATTTAACAATATTATAGTTTCCACCAAAATATTAAGCAGCACAATTGTTTTCAATATCGATAATAAGAAATGTTTCTTGAGCAGCACATCAGCATATTAGAATGATTTCTGAAGGATCATGTGACACTGAAGGAATAAATGACTGTTTTTAATGCATTTTTGAGCAAATGAATGGAGCCTTGGTAGGCATAAGAGACTTTAATGCACATTAATTTTTATTTACGAATCATTGATTAAAATGACAACATTTATAAATAACTTATGGGAACAAACTATAGCTAAGTAAACCCACACAACCTATACCCTGATTTGCTCAATTGATATGATTGGAAAAAGGAAGTCTAGTTCAGTTTGGCCTTTAAGGCAGGATCATCACATCTCCACAGATTCCTGCAGAAAGGTCAGCACATACGAACATACACACTGCAAAAACCCTCTGTGCATTTTACACACAAAGGTCAGTATAGATGGACAGCTGATATATAATAAAATAAACGAGCTCTCTCATACACACAAACACATTCAACAGAAGCAAATGCTCTTTCAGCATTAGTTGCATCTTGTACCTGTAAACCTTTTAGACTGAGAGATCTTGTTTGCTAAAACCATTAGAGATTCTAAAGAACTGTTTTGTTTTAGGAGCAAAAGTACATGCAACTGTGAATGTTTTTTTTTTTTTTACAAGCAGGTCAGGTTACAATATGGTTAAAATACATCAAATGAAATACCTTAAGGAATAGAAATACACTACTGTTCATTTTACCGTTCAAGGTTTTTGAAAGAAGTCTCTTATGCTCACTTAGGCTGCGTTTATTTGATCAAAAAATACAGTAAGAACACACACAATGTAAATGTAAAATATTATTATAATTAAATTGAACTGTTTTCTGTATAAATAATATTTAAAAAAACATTTTAATTTATTCCTGTGATGCAAAGCTGAATTTTCAGCATCAATACTCCAGTCTTCAGAGTCACATGATCCTTCAGAAATCATGCTAATATGCTGATTTGCTGCTCAAGAAACATTTCTTATTTTGAATAAAAATTCAAAAGAATAGCATTTATTTGAAAGCATTTACCTGTAACATTATGAATGTCTTTACTGTCACTTTTGATCAATTTAATGCATCCTTGCTGAATAAAAGTATTAATTTCTTAAAAACAAAATCTTACTGACCTCAAATTTTTGAACAGTAGTGTATATCTAAATCTGACTGGACGAGCTCTCATTGGAATCAGTGGATGATTTAATAGTCTTGAAAACTGGTGTCCTTTATCATATTTGTGGTTGCCATGTAAAGAGTTGCATCACGGTTAAGGGAGTTTTAGGCATTCCAGTACATACTGTGCCTGACAACATCCCTGAAACATTTTAAAACCACTATAACACAATGGACTCTCACAGCTTATTGTTTTATTTTGTCTCCAAAAATCCCAAAAGGTTTCTCTTGGAGGTGGCTTATCATAAATTATCCTAAAGGTATCTGAGTATTCTTTTTCCACTCACCCAATTCAATGTCCTGGTCATCGGTGAGGATGAGGATGATGTTGGGGCGGATGTTGCGCCGGTCTCGCTGGAACCGAGGTTTCAATCTCTGATTGGACTGGAAGACGGAGGCATGAGCCACCGCCAACACGGCCAGCAGCACCAAGAGCCGGGCCGCCAGCCCCTGCGTCGCCATCTCAGGGCTCCCGCTCACACTATACTGACTTCACCTTGTGGCACCTGTAGGGAAAACCCCCAGAAAATTAAGTTTAGCTCAGTTTTAAACTCAAAATGAGTCTGAATGAAATTTTAGCATGAATATTGTTTCAGGTTAAGGTAGAGGTTGTGACAGCATGTGGTTTCGCCAGAGAGATCTTATTCATGGTAAATTATTAATGACCTTAATTGTTATAGCCGTAAGTTAGGCCTATATATAAATATGCAGCTTTCCTTGCACTTAAAATATTACAAGAAATGTAGGCTACAACATGACCTGGACGCAAAGATAAACTCAACATAAGAGGTTAGCTATCAATGTGGCAAAAAAAGTGAATATGCAGAAAATGACTAAAACTACTGTTTGCTACTATTTGTGTAAAACAGGATTCAGATTCAGACAAAATACTGATCCAGATGAAATGCACACGTTAACTATAATGACACACATTGACAGATAGGTAGCAAACCATTCGACTAATTTAATAATCTGACATTTATCAGTATTCTGTTCTAAACACTGAGTGGAAATGTTCCTCTTGGTACACACTGTACCATCCATAACACCACGTTCTGTTCAATAAATATCACCGCTCAAGCTTAAAGGCAGAGGAGAAACTTTCACACTGTACAATGAAGAACAAAATGTATGCATAAGTTCACTGAATGTTATGACAAGAAAGTACCATTCGATCTGAATAACCCGCACACCAGTCCAAATCTTAAATTACTGATGAATTTCTGACTTTCAGTAAGTACATATTAAACATATATGGGCTGTTTTTGGTTTCATATTCATGTTTTGAGAATTTTGTTTTAGTGCAGACTCACTGAAGAAATTATGCAAATCAGGTCACCATGAAAGCCCCCAAAAAAAAAAAAAAAAAAAATGTTTTGTTAAAATATAATTATGACATAAAAAGTTGAAATTATGAGAAATTATGACAAAAAAAAGAGATATTAAAAATATTAGATAATTATTAATATTTTTGATCATAATAATGACTTTTAATGTCATAATTATGGCTATTTATCTTAAATTCAATTTTATGTTAACTATATCTTTTTATGTTGTAATTTCAACTTGTCACAATTCAGACTTTTTGTCAACTATAACTTTTGTCGTAATTCTGACTTTTTTTTTGTCCCAAATGTTTCCGACTTTTTATGTTGACTAATTATGTAGACTTTTTAAGTACAATTTCTTTTCTCATAATTTTTTACTTTTTATGTTATAATTTTACCAAAGCATGATTATATATATATATATATATATATATATATATATATAACAAGCGGAGGAGAGCCAGAGAGCGATAACCAGAGGAATCAGGCTGAGCTGAAGAGAACGTGAAGATGTCACATCTTTGAGTCAAAGAGCAAATCCATGCTGAGAACATCACTTTCACTGGATTATCACACACAGCAACTCTTTAATATTGTAATACTCCTCTTTGTGAAATTCAAAGCAGCTCATGTGGCTTGTTTCACATTCTGCTACACTGTGCTTGTTGCTATCTAGGTGCACACTAAAAACTAAAATTAATTGTTTTAAAATTCTGATTTAAAATACAAAAATTCTAAAAATGTGTATTCTATTGGACATTTTGAGATAAAAAGTCAAAATTAAGTTAGGTTTAGGGTTAAACTGTGAGAAGTCATAATTATGACAAAAAAGTCATAGGAACAATTTTGTCATAATAATGATATCACAATCTCAATTTCACTAAATATAAAATGAATTTTAATCTCATAAATGTACTATTTTTTTCAGTCATATTTTTTTTTTTGTCATTTTGACATTCTGACTTTTTATGTTGTAAATTTTTACGTTTTAATTTAGATTTTTTTTTGCCATAATATCAACTTTTTATGTAATGATTTTGACTTTTTATGTCAACTAATCAACTTTTTTTAGTATAATTATTTTTCATATGATAGTGACTTTTTATGTTATAATTATGAGTTAGCAAAGCAAGATTTTTGTTACATGGCAGAAATGGGCTTCCATAGCTAACATGAATGCAAAGTGGCCCCAAAATCTGAAATAAAATCTGAAATATATAAAACAAAAACAGAGGAAATGAGCATTAGCAATAAAATATCAAACACTGATTGACTTACACCAAAAAAAAAAATTCTCATAAAATAAAAAATATGCTGTGCATTCCTACCTAATCTAATATAAAAAAATGTAATAAAATGAATCATACTCTAAGCAGCGCAGATAACACCTGATTAAACTGCAAGTTTTTCACCCCAGACCGTTTGTACATGTATACCAGTTCTCATCATACAGATGTCAGTCTGTGCTAATTCAAACTCAATCATGCAACAGACTAAATTAGCAGCTTTGTTGCTTTGACACGCAGAAGGCAGAATTGAATTTATTCCCCTTAATTACCCTTCAACACAGAAATACATGACAGAGTGTACATTCAAAAGTTACTGGACCCAAAATTACACCGAAGAAGAACTAACTATTATCATTCTGATATTTATAATAGTTTACATTCAACTTTTCATTGTCATGCTGATTATATCATTTGTATTACATTGAATTCAATTTGAAAAATGCAAAATCAAACCGTTTCCACAAGTGGTCTCAGATCACTGCATATCAATCTGTACAAATCACACTTGTAATATCCGGGTTCGTAATGTCAGTTGACTTAGTTTTGAGGATACCAGGAGCATTGTCATGCCAAGACAGCTGTGTGCCTCAAGGAAAGCATTTAAAAAGAAGGAAAGGAATGAAAGAGCGAAGAAAACAGACACCAGTCTCCGAGGAGACAAATTACAAACCCCTTTAACCCTCCGAGACATTAACACAGCGAGACAAACACCTCCTCCATCTCTGTTCAAAACACTCCGAATCCAACACAACCTGATTCATGTGAATCAGCATTCACACCAAAACAGCACACGAAACGCATTTCCTGTCAAAGACAATCATGCAGAACTTGTAACATAATGTCATTCCTCACATAACCAATAGTGTATCGATGAAAAGACATGACTCTTTGGTGCTCTGCTCTGAGGAAAGAGCCTTTAGCACCGTGCGAACGGCCAGCAGAGGAAGACAGAATTGATTTCTGTTACATTACTGTTATAATTATGGAAAGTCACACTGACATTTGTCAGGTTGGACCAGGGGGGTCAAGGTCCACAGAATATAATTACACTCAGAATGAGAGCATAGCATGATTTTTAATGGATTCTGGGAAATTATAAAGCACATGATAGAGTCTAATAGGTAGCTTGCGTTCGGTCATTACGGATTTTCTATTTTCGCTCTACGGGGTCTGTCTCGCTCTTATTTTACAACACAGATAAAATTAGCGCAAGGAACGTGCAGCTGACATGGCTGACCCTTACATATGTATTCAGAGTAAGATTCATAAAATGAATTAAAGAATGTCCTCAAGACACTTGAATCACAAAAGGACTTTACAATTATTACTTTTCCTGTAGCGAACTATTGCAAATCATTTCACATTCAAACACTCTCATTCCCTTGGATATTTCTCTCTCTTCCTTTGGCTTTCGTACACTGCACTGTACACTTTATCTGCGTTCCTAGAGATTTCACACTTATGGCTGCTTTTGTCTAAAACACAATATACGGTTACCCAGTTCATAGCCACTAGAGAGAGAAAGACAGGCTCTTTTACTGCCAGTCCTCACAGGAACTGTAAAGATAGGGGCTTCACTCAAAGATTACATACAAAAGAACAGGATATACTAAACACTGCTATTACTGCTTGAACAGAGACTTTTGAAGCATTTACTCTACCATCCAGTTTATAACCTGCTCTGAATTTAAAAATATATGATTTTATATCACCATACACATCAAATTCAGATTCAAAATGTATGTAGTATTGACAGATATGTTTCAAAGAATGAACAAAAAAAAGTATCTACTTCATCTAATTTCAGACTTGAATTGGATTTACATTTAAATGTGAATTTGAGTTTTATTAGGAATATGGATTTAAATGTGAATTTGAATTGTATCTGTATTTACATGTGAACTGTGAACTCAAATTGTATCTGAATTTGGATATAATCATACAGTACATTTGAACTGTATTACAATTTTGATGTAAATATAAATCTGAATTGTATCTGTATTACATTTGAAATCCAGATTTAAATGCCAACTGTGAACTTAAATTGTATCTGAATTTGGATTTAAACATACAGAGCATGTGAACTGTATTCTGATTTGGATTTAAATATAAATCTGAATTGTATCTGTATTTGCATTTACATTTACATTTGATTTAAATGTCAACTCAAATTGTATTGTATTTGCTTTAAATATGCATTTCAATTGCATCCAGATTTCAACTGAAATACAAATTAGAATGGCATTCGGATTTTGATTCAAATATAAATCCGAACTGCATGTGAATTTCCATTAAAATATAAATCTGAACTGCATCTGGATTTACATTTAAAAATAAACCTGAATTGTATCAGGATTCACATTTAAATTTAAATTTGAAGTAGTTTTAGAATTAAATAAATTTAAGTTTGAAGCTTTAAGCAGCTAAAATATGACAAAATATGGAAAACTCAACATCATTTAAACAATGTACTAGCCTGAAGTGAGCAGAATCTGGATTAATAAAGAATCCCTCAACAGAGGCACAAACCCCCAACTTCACTTTTCAGGAAAACACCTCTCCTCCACTCGTCTCCCACTGCTTTCCTCATTCTAAATCTCCTTTCTCTCACCCTTCTCTCACCTCCTCGCACAGCATCTCCCGCTTGTTATCATTGTCATCCCTCTCTCTTTCTGCTCTCAAACACCTCTCTCTCACGTCTCGTTCCCTCTGTTCCGTGAGTACCTCATGGTGTTGATGTCAGATGCCTCGGTCTCTCTCGCTCAGCGCAGCTGCTCATCCCACATGGAAGTAGAAATATCCAGATATGGAGTGCGAGGGCTATGGGACCATCTTAATGGGATCCTTGATAACAAGATACGGTGGTAACACTCCACACACAGCACTTAC